AGGGTGGAAAAAAGGAAGAACGAGAGGGGCGTCTCACGCCCGGGGGAGGAAGACAACCCGGTTTGTGTATGTCTGCATAACCAGGGGGGGGGGGGGGGAGCCATATGGATCTCTGGGGGAGACAGAGAAGGTGTGTTTTCTAGGTCCCAACAAATGGCACTGTTTGATTGAAGGGATCTGGAGTCCGCCCAGTCTGCCTGATTTACAGAAAAGGCAGAAATTACCGCCGATAACCAGTCCCTCAGATATCCAGGACCTATGCTGCAAAGGGGTTTAGAGGTACCCAGCACCTTGAATTTCACCTGGAGGTCAGCTGGAAACCAGTGCAGATTGTGGTGGGCACATCTGAAGGGGAATTGCCCCCTCTGGGCCTTTCCAGGCCTTGCTTCTACATGCCAGGTCAGCGTCCTCATCCACAATTAATCAGGAATGTGAGCAGAGTTCTTAGGGTGCTTAGCCCGAGGGGGGAACCCAGAAAGAGCGGGGAGGGCTGGCGGGCCTGACTCCGGCTAGCAAAAGGCTGTTCCCTCCTTCCCAGGCCCCAGCTTCCTGGTCTAGGAGTACAGTGCCACTCTCAGAATGTGGCCATAGCCACTGGCAATGGTGATGTGACCTCTGGAGGTGCCAGGCGGGGGTGGGCTGCTATGCCTAGCCAAGGTGGGCACCGAGAACCATGGGTTGTGCAGGTGTGATATCACCTGGGTGGGAGCAATGCACCGAACCGTTGACTAAGTCCTGAGTTCACACAAGAGACTGAGCCACAAACAAGCTGACCATCTTTTAACCAAGTTTGCTGCTAATGTGGTGCAAGGTTAAGTGGCTGGACTAGGAGTGGGGAGTCCCCAGGTTCTGGTCCTCCCTCAGCCGCAGAAGCTCCCTAGGGGACAGTCACTCTCTCTCTGTCTCCGATCAACCTCGCAGGGTTGTTGCTACATGTGCTACCTTGAGCTCCTCTACAAAAGGCAGGATTTAAATCTAATAAATGAACAAATTGATAGAACTACAATAAAACACAATCAGCTGGGTTCTTGCAATTCTAACCCCAAACTAAACCAAACATGGATACAGACACCGCACTGGGTTAAAATGTGATTAGCTAGCTGCTGCCTCGGTGTGTCATGCAAAACCAGAGTGTTGGGTTAATTCCATAAACCATGGTTTAATAAACAATGGGTGATATGTTGCGCAAGCACAAATCCAGGCTGCCTTTGCAGAACACATTCGTCCTCGGCAGAAAACTGACCGTTGCTCCACCTTTGTGTGATGTGAGTCTGAGAACCTGGTTCAAGGCCCAAGTGTAATTTGAGTGGTGACTATGGTGGCCTGTCAGTCCTGAGGCTTAAAAGGTCATGTGAACACTGCTAGCAGGGCTCAGCACAGCGGAGAAACAATGGATTTAACAGGTCTGAAGAGAAAGGTTGCCACCTGGTCCCCCCAGTGGGGCTCCTGTGCTGGTGACAGTGATAATGCTGGTTCCAGAGAAGGCCCTAGCCTGCAACGTGTGTGCGCCAGGAAGCCTATCGACAATGAGAAAGATGACACTCACCTGTGGCTGCTTCATGCTTTGGCGGCCAAGGATGCGCATAAGATGTCCTCCACACCCGAAGATGGCCTGATCCTGCCGAGACAAGGCTCTGTGCTGATTATAGCTGCATTAAGCTCAGCATGACCCAAGCATCTTCCTTGGAGGAGACCAGTGTCGGAGACAGGATACAAGTGAGGAATCCATGATTGGCCTCTCAGTTTCCCAGAATGCCCCTGGGTGACCACCAAGTAAAACCAGGGCCGGGATGGGCCAGACTTTGGGCTGATGCCGATGGGGGGATTTTGATAAGCCGCCTGGAAGTTTCACGCCGTCTCCAGTTGCAGACAAGCCTAGGCATCTGCGGCAGGAATTACCTGAAAACTCCACCTTCTCTTCCTGCGCAAAGATTCCCATCTAGCATCCTCCGGATGTCCATGCTGGCGGGGGGGATTATGGGAGTTGAAGCCCAAAACACTTGGAAAGCGCAAAATGGGGGAAACTGAAGTAGGGTTCGGATAAGCTTGCAGGAAAAACGCCTTTTTTAGAACTAGCGATGCGTCTTGTGGTTACTAAATGACTCGGAAAGGGGCTAGTAATTCCTTGTTGTGAGAACTAGGAGGACGCCAATTTCGTCCTCGCCCCCCGTTCGCGGGGCTGAAACATCAGCGCCACGATCACGGGAAGGAAGACTAAACAGCCAGGCTCGGACGTCAGACCGGCGCCTGAAATCGGAACCTGGCCACCCTGTGGACTACACGTCCCCTAACGCCCCAGGCGCCCGACGGGACGCGCTGTTAACCACCCCGTCTCCACCTGGGATTTGTAGTCTCCCGGCTGGCCGAGGTTCCCGGAGCTCCACCGCGGAGGGAAACTACTCTTCCCAGAATGCAAAGCGGAAGGAACGACTG